TTCTCTCTCCTCTTTGTTTATCTCTCTCATAAAGGAGGGAGGTGAAAGAAAACACAGTGTAAATGTTATATTTACTATATTTTGCACAAAAGAAAAGAGTAGCAAAGCAAAAAGAGTTCATGGTTTAAATTAATTCATTCTTAGATGTGAATCCAGATGCTGGTACTTACAAGTTGTGTAACCTTGTCTAAATTATTTAACTTCTCATAGCCTCAAACTCTTCATCCATAAAATAAGGGTAATAAGATTTACAAGAGGGGGAGGGCGGTAGGTGGCATGGTGGTTAAGGTGCTGGACTCCCACATGACCGACCATGGTTCAAGTCTGGGACCTGGCATCTTGAAAATCACAATGAGTGTATGTGTGTGTGTATGTATCCCAAATTCCAGGAGGAGAATGGAGGAGAAGAGACTACAGAGTCATTCACCATTCCCTCTAAGGGGGTGATTTCTCACTTTGCTGCTCACTGTCTCTTTCTTTCTTTCTCTGGTGAGCACATGTGCCCTATGGCAGAAACCTAAGGAAAAAAAAAAGTATAAAGAAAAAAATTTACACATTGGCTGACTTTATAGGGCAGTTGTTAAATCCTGTGCACGGGGAACTAGATCCCACATGGCTAACTACTGTTCGAATCCTAGTCTGTCAGTATGAACAAAACACGGTGGGTGTGTGGGTATGCATGCCTCAAATCCTGATGGGATGGAGAATAGAGGCAAAAGGATTATGGTGTGACTATACAATATTGGAGGTGCTCTCTCTCTTTCTCTGGCAAGCACACATGCCCTCTGGTAACATAAAAAAAAAATACTTCCAAGGTAATGTTTTGAGATATAAACAAAAGTTCCTGCCTCATCCCCTGTGACCATAAATTTTTGTCACTCTTACTTTCAAAAGGCTGGATTTACTTCTCTTCCTTTGAATCTCTGTGATCAGTAGATTTTGGTAGAAATGATGCCAACCTGTTCTTGGCCTAGATCCTACAATGACTGGTGGCTTCTGCCTTTTTCTCTTGGAAGTCAGCTGCCTAGTGAGAAGTTTGACTACCCTAGGGCAATCATGCTGTGGACAGTAAAAGTTGGGTGGAGAGCTCCAGACATGGCGGAGAAGGGAGGAAAAAGAGAGGGAGAGAATATACAGAGTGCACAGGCTTCAAAGATGTGACTGAAGAAGCATGCTCCAGCTCCAGCTGCCACAACTGATACTAAATGGACATACAGATCAGAGACAAATTGCCTGACCACTACCTTCCTGAATGCCTGATCCACAAAACCATGAGATGGTCAAATTGGTTGTTTCAAGCTAGTAAGTTTTGAGGTAGTAACATAATAGATAACAACAACAGCCTGTTGGTTCTCCATTGCTTCATAGTGAGTCACTCCAAAGGTGGCTGGGTTAAAACGATTATTTTATTATTCTCTCTTTTCATTATGGTAATTGGCTAGGTGGCTCTCACAGCTTTCATGCAACTGTAGACAGAAGTGGCTAGCTACTGAAGTCATCTCGAAGGGTTCCTCAGTCTTACAACTGGTGGCTGACGTTGCCATTTAGTTGAGCCCTCAGTTGGGGCTCTGGTTGGAACGCCTGTACAAGGTTTCTCCATGTGGCTTGGGTTCCCTCACAGCATGACAGCTAGGTTTAGAGTACAAACACCCCAAAAGAGCAGGCAGGAGGGCATAGTAGTTTCTAAATCTAGTCTTAGAAGTCACAGAACCTCACTTCCATCATACTTAGCTAGTCAAGGCAGCATGGAGTTCCACCCAGATTCAAGAGGAAGCGATGTCACCCCCACCAGTAGCTTAAATGGGAGAAATGTTGATTTCACACTGAAAGAAAATCATATGGGAGGGGAGAAATTGGGGTAGCTAACTTCGGAAAATACAGGCTGCCACACACACCCTGTTCTACCTACTTACTCCCTATTTTTTTGGCATAAGGTTGTTAAAGCAGGAATACAAGAGAAGAAGGAAAGAATAAGGGCCCTGGTATTGAGCTTCAAAATAAACTTGTAAACCTATGGCAAAGAAAATAATCTGAAGAAGAAGAAAAGTTAGAGCATCTCAAAAGTTTGATTTTCAAGTATCAAAAGCTTAAGATCCTTACAAAAACTCAGAACCACAAGTTCATGCCATAAGCTGTAAGTAAGACTATGTACCTGGTTGGAGATTGTTAGGAACTGCCAAGTGTCCCTGAGGAAAAGGACCTGCCCTCTCTTCTATCCCAGTCACACTCAAAGTCAGCCTAGGAATTGGCAAGAGAGAACCTGTCCTCTGCTTTATATGTGGAATTCTGGGAGATGCCAAAGCCCTACAGAGGCCCTCTAAGTCACCACACAGCAGGGTGGAGAGGTAGGTGAAGGGTTTAGGGTTATACCAGTTTTTCTGCAGAAGGTAGAAATACTCTTGGGGAGGGAGGAAGAACAAACCTGACCCCATGTGGTAGTGACAGAAACATCAGCAGAAAAGTATGGGCCTCTTCTGCTGACTGTGCCTGGGGGAAAGTTGCCAAAAACCGAGTCTCCATTCAGGTTTCTAGAAGCACCTTGTAAAAATGTGGGCCTGTGTTGTGGTGTCTGTAGTCATCACTGCATTCTCTCACTGACTGAATAAGCAGACCAGAGGCAGAAGCAGAAGTGAGGTTGGCGCCATTGGTTTGGACACGACAACAGTGCATTTAACAAGGAAGCTTCTCCCCTATTTGGCTCCCATTCCAGATCTGCTTGTGCAGAACTCATAAGCAGTGCTCAGTTTTGAATCCTCGGAACCCTTTTCCTCCCTCCTTCTCTCTCTGATTTGGTCACCACACCCTGTCCATTTCACAATGGGACCACATATGACCCTCCCTTCCCTCTCCCACTCCTCACACCCTTCTTCAGACATCCATATGCCTTATACCTTTCTCACGAATCTTTCTGGAGAGGTTTCTTTACTTTCTGACACTCACTTCTCAATAAATCTGACGTTTCACCGCTAGCTCTGTCTGCCCTCCTTTCTTTCTTAAAAGTCTTCAGTGGTTCCCCATCACTTTCAAGGTAAAAATCCCTAATCCTTATTTGTGGTACCTACGGAGCTATACAATCTACCTTTACAAACTTATCCCCCACAATGTATAGTGAGAATGGGGTTTAATTTGGTTACCTCTTAACGTGGAATGTTAGTTCTGCCTCCTGGTTTGGGTGTAAGCAAAGGCTTCTCTCTATGTGGTAAACGAAGAATACTGTAAACTCTTCTAATTTGAATCCTTCACAAATGCTCTCATAGAAATAGACTCTTCCATCCAATTACTGTATTGGGCTGTGTTCAGTGGGAGTGCTAGGACCATAGTTATGATTTGAAAATGACTTCCGCTTGCTTCTTTATAAATCTAGGAAGAGGATAGCAATTTAGTTAAATGAATCATGAGTATATTCACGTATTCATAACAGTATCTGAGTGGCTACCTCCTGAGAGCCCCTCTCCTTTCAGGATGAGGTGAGAAGCCTTGATCACCATTTCATCTTTGCTTTGACTATAATCAGAATACACCACTGAAGTTAGAATCATGATGGTTTCAGTGAATTAAACTATCAGCTTAAAAAGTCATAGGGAGGGCCAGAAGGTGGCCCAGCAGCAATACAACTCTCTGTGGGAAGGAAGGTCCAGGGTTAACATCCTGAGGCCTCTCTGTCCATGCTGGGTGTTCAAGTGTTCCTGCAATCTGGGCTGGCTGAGGCTGGGGTGGATCATGGTATGAGAACCCCATTAGAGTGTCCCTCCCTCCTCATGGAAGAAATAAACTTTAAAAATTAGTAGGGAATTATTGGTTAGAGGAAATGAAGATTTATATGTGGTGTTGCTATTTCCTACTGATGGATAGAGCATTCCAAATTCTGCAGAGGGTACGTTCTGAGACTGGATGACAAGTTTCAAAAAAGAGTTTCTTTGGCCTGTCACTTTCATTTGGACACACCCAGCTGAACAGCACCCTCTCATTCTGCATGCAAAACACTCAACTCCGGGTGAAGTAAATCATTCCCCACGTGGGCTCCTCCCACATTCACAGCACTTGAGAAGACTTCCTGAAGTTTGGACACAGTGTCCTGGAGCAGAGCCAGTATGCTTCACAGCAGTTATGAAACAGCTGCAAACCCATGCTGATGTCATGCATTGTACAAACACTCTAAAGGACACGAGATACGGCTCTGCAGTACTAATCAAGGTAAGAAGCTGCATTTCACCAAAAAGCTGTAAGAACAACCCTGTAATGTTTCCCAATTTTGCCACTCTGAGATTTATAGCTAACCCATATCACATTTCCAATTTTATCTTTCCTTTTCCCATCTCCCCCTCTTCCATGCAAAAGAATAATTTACATTCATCCTTTAATTCATCACGGTAGCCATTGACAACATGGAGAGAAAAACCAACAATAAACCAAAAGAGAACCTGTCAATTCCCTTGGGGCTTCTTCACATTCGTTCTATCTGGCAAAAGACAGTGCCCTACTGCAGAGAGATGTTGCTGTCCTGCTGTCTGCAGCATAAAGGAGGATACTAAATTGATTATCAATAGGCAAATGTGAGAGGCTAGTTTTTTGTATGGTTTGTTATATGATTATAATTCTCTCCAAAACAGGAAATGGAGGTTAAGTGATTTAATTTTATTAATTTTGGGATTCTTGCTTCCATTAGCTAAAGAAGAGCAAGTGATAAAGTTAGCAGAAGTGTGTTTATTTGTATAAAGTGCTTTGTTCTACTTCAGTCTGAAAAAAAAGAAAAAAGTATTTATAGCCAAAAGGCTTTCAGCAAATAATTACAGAGGATACTTTATAAGTGAAGGATGATGTCAAGGTGTGAATAAAAGGGAGAGGGACACACAGTTCATAACTTTTTTTTTTTTTTGAGAGGTTTTTGCTATAGGGTGCGTGCGCTCACCAGAAAGACAGAGAGACACAGAGAGACAGAAAGCGAGAAATCACCCTCCTGGGGGGATGGCCATGCTGCAATCCCTTCTCCTCCATTCTCCTCTTGGGATCTTGGGCACGCACGCACATGCGCCCGGTGTGAGTTTAAGCCACCGGGTCCAGGACTTGAACTGCAGTTGACTACATGGGAGTCCAGCGACATAGCCATTATGCTAACTGCTGTTCCCCAGAGTTCATAACTTATGAAGCAGTTGGAAAAGGTCTCTATGCTTCCTGGTTGCAAGTTAGGTCTTTAAAAACCTTTAGAAAATAGGATCAAGATAATGAAATTTCTATAATCCCTGTTCATGGTTTCAGAACAGGACAGAAACCCAGTGAAAACTCAGTAAATACCCATAGCACTGGAGCTCTAAGAACATCTAATGTAATAAAACCTGGGCACTTTTCCACTGCTGCAAGTCCAGTTATTAAAAGATATCTGCTAGAGCTAGCATACAATGTTAAGCTGAAGATCACCGCTTTGATATTTGTATGAAAATTTTGAAGCAAGATGATGTTACTTAATTTATGCTTTACTTTGGCCTATGGTAGTTCTTTAATGTACTGTGTTTGACATTTAGGATGAAATGAAAACCAAATATTTGGGTGATCACTTTCCTAGTATAAATATTTGTCCATATTATAAATATTAAGGAATAAAATGGTTATATTATAACTTCTTAGCCATCCTGGAGAAATACTACTGAATAAGAAACAGCAAGGCATCAATAAATACAAAAATAACTATGTTGTCTAGGGTATCATTTTGTGAGTAGCTTCAGGTTAGATGTTAGATCACCTCTTCAATGAGTCTGAAAATAGGAAGAAACTTCAAGAAGTTCATGGAAAAAATGGAATTACAATATGAGTTTATTTTGGCACACATATTTTTGAGATCCATGCATACTTTTTTCATAATATGTGTTTTCTATGAAATTTTTGAAGTCCTTTCATATTGTGCATCTCTGCTTTATTTTTTCTTTTTAAAAACTCATCCTGTTTAAAACCACCAAATCCTATTAATTCTCCAATTTCCTCTCTCAATCTTTCTCTTCATTGTCACCAGATTCATATTGAAATGTAGACAAGTAACTTCCAAGGGTCTGTCTCTGTCTCCTTCTTCCTTTAAACTTATTCTATATATGTAAACCATTTTTTACTTTATAAGTTATGTGCACATGTTAAAGGAACTAAGGAATAGAATATATGATATGAAAAGCAAGCATCTCTTACTATCCTTATGCCAGACCAATTTTCAAGCATTAATGGCCTTTACCTACTGCTGGAATTATAATTATAGCTTGAAAAATTCAGATATATTTTATTCTTGATTTATCAACATAACATCTATTTTCTACTATGGAAGAAATTCAACCTGTTTTTTGTTATTTTCTACTTTCCTTCTCAGTTTTATTGGTAATATTGTTTTTAGTTCTTCTAGTGGTTAACTTTTTAGTAACAGTTTAAAAATTCTATTCATCGACTCATTCTAATGAACAGTACCTATTCACGCCCCATTATGTGTTTTTTCTCAGCCTTCTCTGATTTCAACTTGTGCTTTGTACCATTACATATCCTTTATAAAAATGATTAACACATATACATTATTTTCTGTGACTATAGATGTCTTCCCTGTTTTGACTGGACTTGTGTCTAAGCTTAAAATCTCGTAAAAAGCACTTATTATTATATAATTTCTTATTATTTCCAGAATCAAGTGGCATTACTTTACACAGAGAAGGCAATATAATCCTCTCATTAGGTCTTGCATTTAGAAGAGAATTTTAATGAAAACATCAAAGTCATCAAAGTCAAATGGATGTTTTCACATGTACTTAAAGATTAAACTTGAATCTTGGTGAATTTTTGTTTACCTAGAGCTTTATAAACTTTTTTTTTTAAAGATAAAACACATACTCTCATCTTAAGATCAAAAATACTCATGCTCTAGGTCTAAACTTATATAACAGAATCTTTTTTTTTTTTCCAAGACATTCTTTGTGGAACCTACCACCTAGTTTGGGCCAGTTGTTTTGATATTACCCTTGGCCTCCTGGTATTTCCTATAATTGAATTTTTCTATTACTTTCATAATTTTTAGATGCTCACCTTTATTTCTTTCTCTTTTTTATTTTGTTAGAGTACATCTTTAAGTTATTTCTATGAGAGGCATGAGGGGTAAAATTTTCAAGCCTTTCATGTCAGACAATATCTACTTGCTCAGACTTTAGTGATAGGTAGGCCAAGCACAGAATTTCAGCTCCACCATCACCTCCCTCAGAACTTAAAGCATGGTCCCATGGTCTCTGAGCAGACTCTAGCACTGCAGATTAAAGTGTGTGCCATTCAGGTGACTACTGTCCTGTGAGTAATCTGTCTGACCCAGTCCCCAGATCTAAGAGTTTTTTGATTCTGGAGTTTTATGAGGATGAGTCTAAGTCTGGGTTTTTAGACTTATTCTGCTCATCATTCAGTGACTTCCTTAAATCTGAGTCTTAATGCTGCTTTTCTTTCTCTTTAATGTGTTGATTTTTTCTTTTAAATACTTTTCTTAACAAATGTTGGAACTTCTAGATCACCCTTCCATGTCTGTCTCTAATACATTTCACATATTTTCCATCCTTTGCTTTATACCCTAGGATACTGTTTTAAGATTTTTTTAATAATTGGAAAATATTTTTTTAATTGGCAGTGCGAACATGCACTCAGCAGAGAGGGAGCAAGCAAGTGAGAAGAGAAAGCACCCCCACTTGGGGTGTGAGTACACCCCGATCCTTTTTCCTCCATTTCTCCTTATCAGGGTTTGGGGCACTCATACATAAATGCCCAATATATTTTTCAAGCCACAAGGGTGAGGATTCAAATCACAGAAGGCTATGTGGGATCTGCCTTTCCATGGATAGCACTTAACCACTGCACACAGGGCCAGCCTGATCCCAGAATACTCTTTAGCTACTCTCAATAAGTTCTATTGAATTTTAAATTTAATAACTGCTTTTTTTTTTCTTTTTAAGTTTTTGCCACAGGGCTCATGTGGTTGCCAGAGAGAGATAGAAACTGTGAGAAGGAAAGTAAGAAGTCACCTCCCAACTTCCTAGGGGGAATGGCTACACTGCAATCCCTTCTTCTCTGTTCTCCTGGGATTTTGAGCACACATGCACATGTACCCAGCATGATTTTAAAGCCACCAGGTCTGGGACTGGAACCATGGTCCACTATGTGGGAGTCCACTGCTTTAACCACCATACTACCTGCTAGCCCTGATAACTACATTTTAATTTTCAAGAACTTATGTACTTTCTGACTGCTTCTTGTCCATAGTAATATACTTTATTTATTTATTTATGGGTGTGGGGCAGTGAAATTTTTTTAAAAAACTATTTTTTAAAGAATTATTTTATTTAACTTTATTTATTTATTTATTTATTTTAATTTGATCAGAGAACGATAGAGTAAGAGAGAGAGGGAAAGTGAGAAAGCAAGCCACCAGGTCCGGGACTCTAACTGTGGTCGGCCATGTGGGAGTCCAGTGCCCCAACCATTACTCCATTTGCTGGCCCCAGGACCGTGAAGTTTAGTGGATGTAGTACTTTCGGTTGGCACATATGCAGATGTTCCTGGTATGGTTTTCAAGCCACCGGATAAAGGACTTGAACTGTGGTCAGCCATGTGAGAGTCCAGTGGTAGTCACTACACTATCAGCTGGCCCCATCAATTTTTATTTTGTATTGCAGGGGATTTGTTTAGCAGAAGAGAAGAATAGTTGGTTTTTCGTATTCTAGGTTACCAATATAGTCTTAGTTTGCTCTGCCTGGATGCAATGATGTTATATAGTGTTCCAACCTCTGAATTCATAGTATTTTTGACATAGCAAGCAAGAAACACACACAGACACACACACACACACACACACACACACACACACACATGAAAGCTAAGATTTTCTCTAAGCCAAACATCAGGAGAGGATGCTACTGGTTCAGTCCAGCTCCTAAACCAAAGGAATGTTGCATGAGTGGCACTACCTCACACGAGTCTGACACATGTCACCTACCAAGAGCAAAAATAAAGTTAGAGACATAGAGTAATTCCATAGAGTAACTATCAAGTAGATATAATTAAACCAGGTCATTGCTTTGAAAAATCAGCAGAATAACAAGTCAGTGTCCAAAGTGGGATTGGGAATCTAGCTAGTATAAAAAAGCCCCATAGCCTAGAATCTGATCCATTGGGAGGCTTGTTTTGACCTTAACTAT